TACAAGCACCGAGTCCTGGTGTGGTGCTGTAGTATAAACACTGAACTGCTAACTACAAGGTAAGCGGTTCAAACCCATCAGCTGTTTTCTCAGAAACCCTATATAGGGTCGCTATGAGCAGAACCAACGCCACGACACTCACTTAACAACAACAACAAATCAAAGATTTGGATTCCTTGAGCTTGGGGTTCTTCCTCTGAAATGCAGCCACTTGCATTTCCTTGGGGAGTGGGTGCAGGCATTGATATTATGGCTGCTGCTATGATTGTGAGTAATACAGTTCTTTGTCTTTAACTCAGGAGTCTTGTGTCTTCTACAGCATCCATGAAGCTATGGCAGGTTAATGTGTAAGCTTGCAAGTTCCCGTTCAGATCTTTTTCAGTTCTTTATAGTCTCTACTGGTACTACCTAGCATGTATGTTTGTGTGTGAGAGTGTGTGTTATGGGACATGGTGAGCTGGTTATAGCTAAGAAAGAATCAGGGCTCTGCTCTAAGGTCCCGACTCCTGTCATGAATTAGAAGCACGTTAATTATGATGGACCTAGTGCTATTTTGAAATACATGGGGGAAATGAAGAATATTCATGTTATTTTATGTATTTGGGCAGGCTAAAAACCAATGCTTTTTTTTAGGGGAAAGTTTAGATCTAATAAGAATAAGATATTCTTTTTAAAATTTTTTTTTTTTCCATGCTCATTGCAAATCAGTTTAGGGGTGGTCATTAGCAGTGGAGCTAAGTGCCTGATTAATCAACACCTGTGATTATACCTGGGCACTGATGATCTAGGTGTCTCTCCGCTCCATAGAGAAACAGATGCTTTTCTGAGCTAAGGAGTCCAACTAAGCAAACTGTCCCTGTTAAGTACGGATTAGGCAAGAGAATCCAGCATCTCAGAAGCACAGGCAAATAAATACCTACCAAACAACAAAATAAGCAAATATATTTTGATTTTTTTTTTTCATTTGACAGAAAAGGAGATAATGAAGATAACAACTTTAGAGTAGTTTTAGATTTTTTTGTAGTTTTTCCTCCCCATCAGTTTGTAGTTGGATTTAAGTAGTAAAATAATGAGAAGTGCAAAATGTTTTCATCTAAATTGTTCTCATTAAATAGCATTTAAGATAGCATCATGAGCACTTGCAAGTGATTATGTTTTAATCAAAGTTATACATAAAACAGTTTTTTAAAGTCAACCATTTCACAAAGATTATAGAAAAAATAGCCATCACCTGGTCTACCCCTCCCCATTCCAGTACCTTGTTGTTGTTGTTGTTGTTAAATGTCATTAGAGTCCGTTTGGACTCATAGTGACCCTGTATAGGGTTTCTGAGGCTTTAAATCTTTTGTGGGAGCAGAAAGCCTCATCCTTCTCCCGTGGAGCAGCTGGTGAGCTCAAACCACGGATCCTGTGGTTTGAGTCCAGTACTCATCCTATGAATCACCATTGTTATTCTCAACTGAGCCACATAATGTCCTCAGGTTGCATTTCCTTTCTTGTGAAGCCCTTTTTCATAATTGCCTAGTGTTTGGTGCAGCATCAAAGGATAAACACTTGACTTCAAGGTCAGTTTGAACTGCAAGCTCGGCAATTCAAACTCATCAGCTGCTCCTTGGGAACTCTATACAGGGTCGCTTTGTGTTGGAACTGACTCCACGACACTTAACAATAAAAGCAAAGTACTTTGTTTTAACTCTGTTTTGTTTTCTGCAGATCTATTATTAAGCCTTCTCCAAACTCTACTACAATTCTTAATCTCTTCTTGAACTATTC